CACCGCCCACTCCCACCCCTGGGCGGAGGAGGTGGGCACCGGCCCGTGCTCTGCATCTGTGCTGTGCTGTGCACCGCCCACTCCCACCCCTGGGCCAGACACTTGTCAATATGTGTTCGGGGCAGGCTTTCTATTAAGCTTGCAGACATACCCACCAATTGCTTTCATTAGGACAATTGCTTTTAAATTCTCCCTATCCTAAAATGTAATATTTAGAGCGTGGTCTAACAGTGATGGAGAGGAGAGGTAAAGGGATAGTAGTGTGCAATACCATGCTGTGCCTCAATGTGCAAGGGAGCCGCGTGCCAGTGGCTTACCCCGTGACCCTGTCTACCCAGGACATTGAGGGTGGTAGTTCAAAGCCAGCCTGGGCAGAGAAGACTGTTAGATTTCATCTCCAAAATAGCCAGCCAAAGGCCGTGCTGGAAGCATGGCTCAAGTGCCAGCTCAGTTAGCAAGCCAGGTGCAAAGCCCTGCATTCAAATTCCAATACTTCCCATAAAACTGAAAAAACCAAGACCAAAACAACAAGCAAAACTCCTGTAAAACTTGCAGAGGTCAGCAGAGACTGAGGTCACATGTTATTTCCTGGTGCAGGCTGACCAGGCATGGCTTGGGCTGCAGGTTTCTGCTGGTTGGTGGAATGTTGAATGGTGAGCAGGTCTTTGTGTAGTTTCAAAGGAAGAAAAGTGCAATTTTTTTCCCTAGACGTTCCTGGAAAATTCAAACTGCAAGTTTAAACTACAAGAATGTTTTATATATTAATGTCATATGGAGTAAGGTTCGGAGTTCAGGACTTGGAAGCATTCTTTTCACTCCAGTGGATGCTGGTACTTTGGACATCTGTGAGGAAGGCTGTGTTAGCTGTGATTCTCAACTTTGACCATTGCCTTGAGCTCCTGGGTCTGCAGACTGTTAGCACTCAGCCAGGTTTTTCCAAGTTAGTTCTCCAGGCCCTCCCACTGAGGATGATGCTCTTTGTTCTGCGAGCGGCTGCCTCACCCTTTGTGGCATCTCTGCTGTGTTTGGGACAGGCTGTTTGGAGGAGCAGGCCTCGTGGACAGCTCTTCTCACTTGGACCTCTGGTGATCCTGTGCTGGGTCTGTCGGGGTTTGGTGAGGTAGAGGTGACCGTGTCTAGGTCCCCTCTGTGTGGGAGCACAGGTCTCCAGCATCTCTGGCATCCAGGCTGGATCTGAGGCCAAGCCTTGCATCATTTCAGGCATACACGAAAGGTGAAGAGGAGGAGAGGATGACTGGGTGTGTGCCTCTCCGGTGGTTAGGTGCATGGGGGGCTGTGCACAGGCACCTTTGGAAAGTAGAGGCTTCGGCCTCAATCCAGGACTGCAGAGAGAGCACTGTGATGTTAGAGCACAGAGTCTTTGCTGTGTAAACACACAGAGAGTGGGAAGTGTGCGTCTTGTTGTAAGAAAATCTGTAGTAACATTCTGAATGGTTCTGAGTGATTTGGTACTTAATTACATAAAAGAAAAGGGATATGTGAGCCAGAGACTGCTTTGTATCCAAATCATGTGCTCCTAAAAATCACTTCAGTGATGAGGGTGTGGCTTAATTGGTAAATTACCTACTTAGAAACCCAAGGCCCTGAGTTCAAACCCCAGTACTGCAAAAAAACAAAAAAACAAAACAAAACCCCACTGTAGATGGGTTGAATCTGCCTCTTGGTGATGGTGAGAAGTGTAGTGTCATCTGACAGGATGAAGGAGACGCTGCTGTTCTTTGTAAAGCTGTTCCCTGAGGGCCACCACCTGCGGTCTGAAGGACCACTGACATTTGGCCTGGAGTGTTTTAATGAACCATGCTGTCCGTGCTGACTGAGCTCCTTGGAACACAGAGGACTGGACTCAAGCCAGCCCCAGCTGGCATTGTGGATCGAGATTTTTAGATTCTGCACCTGAATGAGATGCTTTAAATAATTTCATGGACAGAAAAGAAAGGCAGATCTATTTTCTTTGAGGCCAAAGCTTAATCTCTGTCACAAAAATGCTCGTGAGATTGCTCAGATGGGGTTTTGTTCACAACAGTGCTCTACTTCAGGGCCAGGAAAATGGTGTCCCCTCCCCCCGCCCCAGGTGTGCGATGGATTTGGATCTGGTGCAGTTGCCATTATGGGGAATGGCACGAGGTTTGACTTGGGAGATGTTTGGAAAAAGTATTGGGAGCTGTAGACATGTGTGGGGGACCGTTTTCTGCCACGGGCTGTTTGAGTATTATAACATCATTTGTGGGCCATAGGAAATTATCAATGCAGGTAGATGGCTGCCAGCACCGACCAGACACTTACGTGACTGTCCATGTACCAAATGATTTTGTGAGCCTTGAATCACCTGTGGGATAGATGTTCTGCACTCTTTGGAGGGATCAGAGAGGGTCAGTGTTTAATTACCTGGGCTAAAGGCATCGAGTGAGTACATGGGCACATTTATGCAGATAATGTGAAACCAGATGCTGCATCTAGAAGCTAGGCATGGACAGTTGAAGGCAGTTCATTGTGAACCGAGCACGGGCTAAGCTTGGGTCTGGTGCCGTGCAGAACCGGCAGGCCAGTGTCTGCGTGCAGTGCTCGGGAGCGTGAGGGGGCACTGCACCTCCAGTGGCATCTGTCAAGTCAGCAAGTTGAGTTCAGGGTTTCTGCTGTATTTGTGTTGATCGGCACATGTGAACTGGAAGCTGCAGCGAATGGGATGGTGCGGAGCCGGTGCTCTGTGTTCCATGTACTGCCATGTACTGAGAGGTGCGGCTCACCTCATAAGCCCGCAGCACTGCAGGCCTCGCCCCGCACAGTGTCTGCAGGACCAGAATCTCTCTCTGCTCAATAGATGAGCGTCTCAGGCTGTCCTCTGGGCCTTGTGTTCTGCACTCTGTCCTATTCACTGTTTCCAGATGTTTCTCTTCTGATACATGGATCAGCAGCACCAGGACCCTGGCATTCAGAGGCATCCAACTCGGTGCAAGCTCACACGGTTCACAAGCACTTCTGATAGGTATTCTCAGGGGCTTGGGATATCCCCACCTGTGTGGGAAACAGGTGGCCAAGAGCAATGAGTCTCACAGAGAAGCAGCCATTCAGGGAGCATGAGAGCAGAGGTGTATCTCTGTACAGGGTCCTGTGTGCACAGATGTAACTTGGTGGTTGTTATTTAGTGTTAGAAGCCAGAGGTACACTTGAGAATTACCCAGGGGACTTGTAAATTCCCAGGTTCCCTTCATAGGGCCTGCACGGTGGTGATGGGCACGGGGGTCTGGTGCAAGATCCAGCTCCCCAGAAGGACACGCGCAGAAAGGACACCCAGCCCTGCACATTGGCTCAGGGCGCTGCTGTGGCTGTGGAGTGAGGGCTTGTCGGTGCCGTCACTGGGGAGGGCCAGAGGGGAAGGACTCACCAGACTCCATGTACCATTTGTTCCAGAGCTACCTGTGACTCTGTGATTATTTCAAAATCTGAGTTTGAATTTAGCAGGGCAGAGTTGGAGGGGCTGTATATGTCTGCACATACATATGGGTGTGTATGTGTGTGCATGTATTTGTGTATCAGAGTGAGAGAAAGAGGCAAAGAGAAAGAAGGAAATACATAGAGAAACACACACACACAGAGAAGGAAATACATAGAAAAACAGAGAGAGAGAGAGAGAGAGAGAGAGAGAGAGAGAAATAGAGAAACAGAAACAGAGAAACAGGCAGTCTTCAAGAGATTTACTTCCAGGGACTGGCTAACACTGTGTGGGGCTGATGAGCAAGTGTCACATTTGTTGGCAGGGGCAGGAGGGAGCTCTAGTAGACTGGACCACAGGCAGGAGATCTGGAGGGAGTCTTAACCACCTCTGAAGGGCCCCACAGAGGTCAGGCCCACCCAGGATCACTACCTCTTGATAGACTTAGGTGACGATTTGTAAGAGCATCTGTAAAACATCTTCCTGTAGTACTTGGTTTTGTGTGTGGCCGAGTCACTGGTACTGTAGCTCAGCCCAGGCACCCTGGAAAGTCACAAGTGAAATGCTGTAGCACTCAGCCTGTATGTGCACACTTGTGACATGGAAAGAAAGAAATATCGTGTTCAGAAAGTCCAAATCCTACAGGAAGTGAAAGCATCTTTGTCCTTTCCCATCTCATTTCTTAAGATGCTTCCAGAAACATTTGCTTGCACACTGGAGCCCATTGGCTGACACACGCCAGACAAGTGCTCTACCACCAAGCTGAGCCCCTGCACAACTAACTTCATTCTTGATTGTGATGTTGAAGCTCCATACTTTTTGAAAAACTATGCTTGATTTCATTTGAGGTTGATATATATGATCATGTATATGCCAAACCTACCTAAGCTGTTTTTGACTCCTGTTTTGCATATAGGAAGCTGTATAGCTGGGTAGCTGCTGGGTTTCCACCGATTGTAGTAAATGGCTTCTCGTAGTTTGGTGGGCATCATAGGTGTCAGCAAAGGACAAGTAGAATGGCAGAGAAGTGGCGAGACATTGGGACAACAATCAGCTGTGGTTCTGAGAATGGGTCGCATGGAGCCATCTCTTTCTTACACCTATGTGGGAGCAGTTACAGTCATGTGATGGGAGGCTTGATTTTCATGTGTTCACATCACTGAAAAACAGCCCTGCCCCCAGGAAAGGATGATACTTTATTCTAAAATAATAAGGACTACATTTCAAGGGCTAGTTCTTTATATTCCCCAACCTTTCACTACAAAGCATACTTTAGAGATTTTTTGTGACCGTAAATTGAAAAGTGGAATGAACATGTGCCTTGAGAGTCTGCTGGGTGGACTCACCGTGTTCACGCCGACCAGGCTGCCTCTCAGTCTTCACCTGGGCCTGGTTGTTCCTGGGTCATGGTTGGTTCTTTTGTAGAGTTCTTTTTCCCATGGTCCATGCACTTTGCAGGAGGTCCGCAGTTGGGCCATGTGCCTCTACCATCCAGCGTGCTGGCTGCCCCTCTTGCGTGTGGCCGGGCAGCTGTGACCTCCAGTGGACTGGACTGAGGTGGGAAGATGGGAAGGACAGGTGGCTTTCATGTCGCGCACACCTGCTGCTGTGGGTGCGTGTGAGGCGCAGCACAACCTCAGCTGGCTTTCCCCCGTCCTGTGATCTGTGTCAGCAGAGTCTCCCAGCCAGCAGGAGTCCCCATGACAGCGTGTTCTCACATCTGAACAAAACCACTGCTGCCCGATCCCTCCTCCCCGTGCAGGCCGCGGGGAGTGACTGTGTTCAATGACTGATGTGCTCTGACAATGAATGTTGTTGTTTTAAGGTCTTCTTTTTCTTGTGATTCTTTTGTTCCATAGCGTCGTCCCCCAGACTACAGTAATACTCAACAATGATCGGCAGAACGCCATTGTAGCCAAGATGGAAGACCCCTTGAGCAGCAGGGCACCGGATTCCCTGGAAAATATCATTAGCAAGTCAGTAGCCATGCACCATCCTCCCTCCCCCTGCCACTGTGATGTCACCAAGTGAATGTCCCCAAGCCAGGGCACAGAAAGCACGTGGCCATCCCTGTCCCTGGGATGGTTCCAGCAGGTTTCACCCATTGTGTAGGTGCTCAGGGTGGGCAGGGCAAGGTCACACACACAGGGCGAGTGGCCCGGGGACTGGCAGAGCTGACGCGTGGTGGAGGGCACGGCGGTGTTTCACAGTGGTCAGCTGATCATCACCATCTGTCATGGCGCTGTGTCAGATACACAGACTCACCTCAGAGTCTGCTGAAGGATGTGAGCATGTTGCATTGTGGCTTTTTTCTTACCCTGTATCTTTTGAAGTGTCTTGGCCAGAAGTGGGAAGGAGACAGGCCCTGTCCCAGCCTCTGTCCAGTGAGTGTTGCTGTGGGGAGCCTTTAGCCCAGTGTCTGGGCTCCACTCACCTCAGGGGCTTTGTCACTCTCGTTTCCCATCTGTGTCTCCACCACATCCTGTTTTTGCTTTTGCGCTCCACTCTTCTGCAGGTGTTGCTTCTTCGGCTTAGCCCCCTTTTCTCAGCCTAGTGTTCTAAGAAGCAGCTGTGGTCTTGGGCCTGACACGTGGGGTGAAAGTGGGGGGGGTACCCAGAGGTGAGCCAGGCTCCCTCGGGTTAGCTCTTAGAGGTCGGCTGCTCAGGTTGATTACCGGGAACCAGATCAGCTTAGACAGATCTCTTCGGACCCAGTACAGAAGTGCGGCTTACAGCTTCCACCTCTGGGGTGGGAACAAGTCATTGTGAACAGGGAACTAGTGCTTTCTCTCTCCAGTGCTTAGTTGGTCATGGTCTGGGCTGTTGACAGGGTTTTTCAGAAAGCAGGCACAGTCTCTAAGTGGTCTTTTTGGAGCGTTTCAGTGCAGCTGGCCGCCCTGCCTGGTGGGTAGGGCTCTTCCGCTGCACCTTGCTCTCATTGCCGCACATCAGGGCTGTGGTGAGAAGAGCTCCTGGAGGGGTCCTGGGACGCTCTGCCCGAGGGCCGCAGCAGCCTGTTCCTGGGCTTGCCCTGGGAGTGACGGGAGTGTGAGGGCTTTCTGGAGACTGAGCCACCCTCTGGGGTCTGACAGGGGGTGGGCTGGTCCTGGGGCTCTGTGCCCCCGTCCTCTTCATGTAGTCTTTCTTTGGCATGGCTCTAAAACCTCTTTGGTGCAAGTCAGCATTTTGAGGGATAACCTTGATCTGAAAGCAGCCTTGCAGGCCCGAGTCCCCGTGACTTACGCTTTCATTTCTTTGGTGATGTGAATTTTTTGTAAACATTTTTTTATCCCATCTCAGCCTCTGAGTGTTTCCATGTTAAGTTGCTTTCATCGTCATAGAGCTGTGTGGGGAGACCCCCGGGTGCACTGGTCCCTGCTCAGTTAGGTGTTGGGAGAAGACCGGCCCAGTGCTGTCCAGGAAGTCAGGACTGACGGTGGCTGCCTTGGCTCACTCTCACACGCGTTGATGTGCTTGTTCCCACCAGTGCTGTTCCTGGGCGTCGGCAGAACACCATCGTGGTGAAGGTGCCAGGTCAAGATGACAGCCACAACGAAGATGGGGAGAGCGGGTCAGAGGCCAGTGACTCTGTGTCCAACTGTGGCCAGCCGGGGAGCCAGAACATCGGGAGCAACGTCACGCTCATCACCTTGAACTCAGAAGGTGTGTCCCCACGGCGCCTTCTCCCCTTGGCCAGCCCAGCAACAGGGACAACTTTGTACTTTTAAGCAATGTGGTACAATATAAAAATGCTGAGGGAAGTTAGAATAGCTTGAATTCCAGGAGCTGCTCCTGTCTCCGTAGGTGAGTATTTGTGTGCCTGATGTCATCGAGAAGCACACGTGTCCTATAAGAATTACAAATTCCCTTGCCGGGCGCTGGTGGCTCACGCCTGTAATCCTAGCTACGCAGGAGGCTGAGATCTGAGGATCTCGGTTCAAAGCCAGCCCGGGCAGGAGAGACCGTGAGACTATCTCCAATAAACCACCAGAAAACTGGAAGTGGCGCTGTAGCTCAAGTGGTAGAGCGCTCGCCTTGAGCTGAAGAGCTGAGGGACAGTGCCCAGGCCCAGAGTTCAAGCCCCAC